TCTTGTCCGGGTTCAGCCTCAGCCCATTTTCCTGCATCTGTTGCAGTACAGCCCCCAGGCAGTGCTGGAGGAACAGAGCGGCATCACCTGCAGTTGGCATTCTTTTTCCTGCTGCCAATGCAGGCACGATATTGTGCAGCAATATCAAGCCATTTCCTGGCTTTTTGACTCATGCGTACAGACACACAGTATCCCACATTCATAAACCGGAGGGTTTTCAAAGAATTGACTATTAATATATAGGCTTAAATCATATTGACTAGCTACGTGAGTGTACCTCAATCTTATGCTCACAGAATCTGTGGTCACACTGAGGTGTACCGCCTTGGGTCCTTTTAAAGAGAAAGGTAGGGTAAAATATTTGAATAAAATAAATAAAATTAAATAAGACAGAAGTGCTACTTATGAAGCACTTTCCTAGTGCATTAAACAATTGGTTACAACAGGAATCATATAACCAATTGTGCAATCATTTTGTTCTATTCTTGTTGCTGGGGTGGAATCCCCAGAACATTTACGCAGGCATAATGTTACACTGTGCCTCAACTAACAGGATTCTGTCTTCAAAGAACAAAAAAGGGAGGAGAGAGGAAAGGCACAAAGGAAGGCACAGGAAGGAAGGGTCTGTCTCAGAAACTGTGATGTGTTCAGGGGGAAACCCATCTGCATGTGCATAACTCACTCATCCCCCTCCATCATTTCCAATTGCTAGCAATGTATGAATGCTCTTATTCCAATAAGGATCACAAGTGAAGGTGGGGTATTACTTGCTCCTGCCCAAAATGGCAGCAGGCCTTGTAGTGCGAAGGGATGGACCCATTGAAAGACAGCATGTAGCAGTGGGGACAAAGCCAGGAAGATCTGAAAGGGGATGCAGAGAAAATGTGAAGTCCTAGGTAGAAAGCATTGTATGTTATAATTATGATTTATGTAACTCTTTGTATTATTTTACTGTTTGTATTCACTGGAAGCCACCTAGAGTGGCCTTTTTGACCAGGTGGGTGGGGTATAAATCAAATAAATAAATACATAAATAAAGAAATTGTTTTAAGTGTTAGTTACTACTTCATTCTAGATTAAAAGGCATGGAGTAAAAGGAAAGCATCCTTTTTAAGTGTTAGTAACTACTTCATTCTAGATGAAAAGGCATGGAGTAAAAGGAAAGCATCCTGGGCCCTGGAAATTCAGAAAGGGGAAGCTATGATTCAATGATTCACTCATCCTCAATCTGTTGGCTTACAAGACTAATCAGTGCCATATGATACACCCAAAGCCACCTTCAAGAAAACCTGGATGAATGCTGGAACCTTGCCATTCCCACCCTGCCTAGAGAAGCAGACCCATCATCATCCCACTCATGTATTCAGTTATAGGGAGTCACTGCTATTTCTGTACTAGTTCTGGGAGAGGATACTGGAGCTGGCAACACTAGTGGCAGGGTTATAAGGCCAGTCATGATAGGGTAGGCTTCTATAGCCGCTCCTCTTTCTCCAGAAGTTCTCCTTCATTGATGTCTTCTGCAGTTGCATCTACATACACTAAAGCCTTTTTCACCAAACCCTCTAAAGACTGTACATAAACACATAGATCATGAGTGGATTGAAACTACAATGTACAGTATGGTTCATTTTTTAAGTTACCTCTGGTGATGAGTGGATTGAAACTACAATGTATGGTTCATTTTTTAAGTTACCTCTGGTCCTGATCATTGTACCGTTGTACCGTTGCATATGTGAGACTGCCATTGGTTCATAATACTACAACCAGCCTTCCTAGTGGATGAAATATAGGGCTCATGTTATCCCTTGGTCTTTTACATGAACATCATTAATATCCTATGCATTTTTGTGCACAATTGAAGGATGCAGGTTTTCGCCAGTAAAGCTCTAAATGGCTTTGAACTATGTCATGTGAAGGCCAGTATACCTCCAGGCTGTCATTGCCATTAAGCAAAGCAAAGTGGCTGCATCAGACAGTAGAGACTAGAGAGTAGCAATAACAGGCTGGTCTTCCTTGCTGTAGCATTACATGAGAAGTGTGGAAGACTCCACAGAGGCCCATCTTACTTCTGCTCCAAATCGTCTCATGGCATGTGAGAGGGCCTTTTCTGGCATAGTCGTTTTCCTTTGGAACCCCACCCCCACCCCTTGGACAACCTCTAAGATGCTGCAATAACTTGCATATAGAAATACAATTGCAACTTTCTAAAAAGACTTTTGAACTTGATTTGCTGTGATTTTGATTGAGTGTTATTGCCTGTTATATTGATTTGATTTATTTTATTATACTTTTAGTGGACACCACTGTGATCTCTTCAGAAAGGCAGAGCGGTGTGTAAATTATTTCAAAGAAATAACTTTTTCTCTGAAACAGAGTTCCGGAGGCATGTTTTATTAATTTGTTTCTTTCCAACCATTTATAGATAGGTTCTGTAACACAGTTCTCAATGCAGTTTACAATAACACTAGGACAAAAATACCTATGGCATAACAATAAAATGCATAACAGCATAAAAACAGCAGAGATGAAACAAATTAAAGTTTGGGTTGATTAAAATGGCTGGGAAGACGAAAAAGCGTTCCTCTAACAAGAACATGCCAGGTAAGCCTGTTTGAGTAATTTCTACTCCCACTGTGTTTGTATTTTTGTTTTCTCATGTGAAGACACTTTCCTGATCCATAATTTTCTCATTGCATTTTTCACCTCCTCGTTTCTTAGGGTGTAGATCAGTGGATTCAGCATCGGGGTGATAATAGTGTAAAACAGAGCCACGGTCTTGTCTTCTGAGAAGTTGCTGGAAGGACGTATGTATGTAAAAGTGCATGGCCCAAAAAACAAAATGACTACCATGACATGGGAGGCACAGGTAGAAAGAGCTTTGCGGCGTCCTTCAGAGGACCGAGATCTCAGGGAGACCAAGATGACAATATATGACATGACCAAGATGAGGAAACAGCTCAGTGCAATCATCCCACTGTTGGCAACCACTATGATGCCCACGATGTAGGTATTGGTGCAAGCCAGTTGCAGTAAAGGGTGAACATCACAGAAATAATGGTCGATTTCATTGGGACCACAAAATGGAAGCCGGATGGTCATAAGAGTCTGTACTAAGGAATGCATAAACCCTCCAAGCCAGGAGGCTGCCACCATCTGCCCGCAAACCCGCTTTGTAATAATGGTGGTATAGTGAAGTGGTTTACAGATCGCAATGTACCGATCATACGCCATCACTGTGAGGATGAAGATCTCTGTGCAGCCAAAGAAATGGACCCCAAAGAGCTGTGTTATGCAGCCAATGAATGAAATCCTTTTCTTTTCAACGAGGAAGTCTGCAATCATTTTGGGAGCTGTGACAGAGGAGTAGCAGATGTCTACAAACGACAAGTAACTGAGGAAGAAATACATAGGGGCATTCAAGCAGGAGCTGAAGATGATAGTGACAACTATCAGAAGGTTTCCCATCACATTGGCCAAATAAAAAAGCAGAAACACTACAAAACATATTTTCTGCATCTCTTCATTTTGGGTGAGGCCAAGGAAGACAAATTCAGTCACATTATTGAGGTCCTGCATCAGGGCTGTGACATTCATACCTGCAATAACATTGAATGAATAGGCTTAGCAGAGGGCATATACTCTCAGGGGTTATAGCCAACCTGATCATACACATGAAAGAGAATCAGACTGTAGCAGCAGAGTAAGACATTTACATGTTCAGAGTGCAAATGGCAAGGAATCACATTTTAAATATTTTCATCAATTTAAAAAAAACACTTCTCAAATTTAAAAAATCACAATAACTAATAGAAACCCAGATGTACTTGATTTATACTTAGGAGAGTTTACATAGTAAACACACACACACACACACACAGAGAGAGAGAGAGAGAGAGAGAGAGGAATTTGAAAAACAAAATGTGAGCAGTGTCTACAGTCAGAAGTGTCACAGTCCCTTCTTGTACCACCTGATTCTGTGGCACAAATGTTGTGCTTAAAATTTCAGAGTAAATTACTGATGAAAACAAATATTCCACCAATACATTACCCTCTTAACTATCTGTCTTCTACCCTCCATTCTTTTGCTAGGTAATCAAGTGCATTCTATGGATTCTTTGCTGGAAAGACATCAAATGCAAGCTAGAAAGATACAGCATTTTACAAGTAAGGGAAAATGTTACCAGGTCAAAATAAAACAAACAGGAGATACTTTACTGTATCTAACAGCCATATGAGATCCAGAGAGTTCAGTCCGTTAATGAATGCAATCTCGCCTAGTCAGTTTCTCACTGGAACTGAAGTCAATTTTAAGCTTCAAAATAGTATTTACAATTATTTATTGGATGTCGTTCATTTTCAGGAAAAACAGCTAACAAAGTACTATATCCAAGCAAACACCTTCAGAAGTGTGCTGACCGCTTCACTGGAACAGTAGAGGACTTCCTCTGTGAAATATTGTATTGAAAAGGGATCTGCTTCCCTGCAAATAAAACAATAATAATAGAGTTCTGGTTAGCAAGAGGTAGGATTAGTTAATAATCTATGGGAAAAATTAATAGGAGAAGCCTAAGGAACCCAGCATAAGACCAGTCTAAACTAGAGATGAAATTACAAAAAGGGATTTTACAATTTGTTATTCGTACATAACTGAAAAAATAAAGATTTGTATTGCAAAAACCTTTGCTAGCAATCAAAATGGTTGAAATGAACATCCACAGAATCAATTTTTAAAAGTCCCTAGACAGCTGGCTAAAGGCTTGCTGAATCTATTTTGTGGCAGACAGCTGAATTCTATTAGCTGGAGCCTGACACAAAATACATACTCTAACAATGTTTGTTTTCAAAGTTTTAGTCATGTTTGTTTTAGCATTTTTTAAAAAGAGGCAACAAAGAGTTGGGAGAAAGGTCTCATGCCCTTTTAAGAAACTAAGCGATTTATGTTCAGGTAGATCTGTTTGTCTTGTAAGTGCCACCATGGAACTGTCTCCTGCTGTCCTCAGAATTAAAGAATTATGTGGCCAGGCATCATTGTTGATTAATGCAGCCCACAATCCTTCAGCACCAAATCTATTTCTGGTTACAGTACCTCAAGGTTTCAGTGCACCAGCAGTGTGGTTGAGAGGGGACACTCGTCCCACTTGTTCCTATTGTTAAACTTTCCTGATCTACTCAAAATCACCCAGAAAACTACTAGGAGATCCTGATCTATCTTCTACCTGAAGCACAATAATGCAAAATATTTATTAAATGTTACATGAAATACAATTTAGAACAGAAAAATAACAACAATAATATATCATTGTGAACAAGTAGCCTGAGATCCTGCGAACACTGGTAGAGGACAGAAAAAACATGTGAACTAATACACTGAACCCACAAAGGGATAAATCAGTGCAAATTATACATTCCAAAATACAAACCAGGAAATGGATGTAAATAAACTAATCCTGAAGGAAGGTTTTTTAAAAAAAAAACAAAACCTAAAAACAGGGGGAAACCCCAATAATGTCAAGCACACATTCCTAGATGATATGATGCTATCATAGTATCTTGAGGGAAAATAGAATAATAGCTCTAAAATAGCAATAGTCCTATGATGCTTAAAAATTAACAAATGTATCAGAGATAGCGGGTAACTTTTCAGGCATATGACAAATTGGGCTATAAAAAGTCCTATAATAAATTTGTTCATCTTTAAGTACCAAAAGATTTTCTTGTTTTGGGGCTCACTTTTTGGGAAAAGAAATCTGTAATATTACAATGGAAATGTTAAAGTTCTACATTAAGACTAATGTCTTATTTCTAGATATTTGCGAAGGCTTTCACAGCCGGGATCTAATGGTTGTTGTGGGTTTTGTTGTGGGAGTGCTGTCCTCTGAAGATGCCAGCCAGAGACTGGCGAAACGTTAGGAAGAACAACCTTAAGAACACAGCCAAAGAACCCGAAAAACCCACAACAACCATCTTATTTCTAGAACTTGGAAGAATGCAGTGGATCACAAATGAATGTTTGTCCTTTGAAGCTGCTCCCCTGTAGAAATGTACTGAGTTCTCCCTGATAGATTTTATCTTGTGTTTGGTTTTTTGTGTGGGGTTTTTGTTTTTGGATGTTGAGTGAAACCACTCTTACTGAATTTCCTCCTAATAGTATTATGATGAATCTCTCTCTCTCTCTCTCTCTCTCTCTCTCTCTCTCTCTCTCTCTCTCTCTCTCTCTCTCTCTCTCTCTCTCTCTCTCTCTCTCTCTCTCTCTCTCACACACACACACACACAGAGTCAATTTTAACCTTCAAAATAGTATTTACAATTATTTATTGGATAACACTCATTTTCAGGAAAAACAGCTAATAAAGTACTATATCCAAATAAACACTTTCAGAAGTGTGCTGACTACTTCACTGGAACAGTAGAGGATTTTCTCTGTGAAATATTGTACTGAAAAGGGATCTGCTTCCCTGCAAGTGAAACAATAATAATAGAGTTCTTTTCTTTTTACTCCATGTTGTGTTTTTAAATGACAAAGTACAATCCAAACCAAATTAAGTACTTTTAAGCCTTGTTGATTAAAATGTGATGGAGTGTTTAGGAACCTGCCTGTCTTTGGCGAAAACAATGAAAGAGAGAAATATTCAGTATAGATTAGCATTTTTAAAGCACATGACATACTGCAATGACATACCTTAGTTATATCTGCAGTTTTCCATGAAGTTTTGTACTGGCTCTGATACAACATCTTGAAAGCAAAATGCATTTAGAAGTCATAGATCCTTACCTGGAGCTGTTTTTTTAAATTATTTGTGCAGAAAGTTTAATGAGTAAAAAAATATCCGTGGTCTGGTTTTACCCCAAATTCCTGCCTGCATTCAAAATAACAATGTGTAGACTGCTCCAGTAACAATTCTTCTAATAGAATGCTTTGCTTATTAATACAGTAGCTAATGGGTTCTGCGCCAATGGGAGGCTGACAGTGCATCTTAGATTTTTTTTAATACCCACATTGGAATAAAAAAGTACTTTTTTTAACCTTCCTGTTTTGGAAAGGGTTCATTAATCTTTATTTGGTACTGTATACAATCTACAAATTATTGGAATCCATGGGGAGGGAGGTGAATGATGGAGCAAGTAGATGCAAACAACTTGTTTGTAGAATCTGAACTGACATACTTCATTCTAAAAGGAAATAGTCGACCTAGTTAGCAAGATCCTAAGAGCCAAGAAAAGGGCAAGAGGGACATAAACCTAAAAAGCTAAGCTTTGTATCCCTTCAGAAAAGTATCAATAGCAGGTTTTGAAATTCTCTTCAAATTTCATGTGTTTAGCTCGGCTGATGCATGTGCCCTGCAATTCTTTAACTGGGGGGTTGGAAGGATACTTTAGAACAGGGGTGTCCTTTTACCTTCCCTGGGCCACATTAGAAGATGCAAATTTGGTTTGGGCCGCACATACATTTGGTTTGGGCCGCATGGGGGGCAGCCCTAGCCGTCCTCTGCAGCCCCGCTCCAAGCGCACTTACAGGCAGCTGCGATCTCAGACAGCAAATGCTGCCAGCTTTGACTCCAGCGGCTTTATGGGGCCAGGAGGGGGTCCACCTATTGACGGGGATGGCACAGTGCAGTCACGCAGCCCCCCTGTCCCCTCCCCTCCCACTCCTTCCTTCCTTCCCTTTCTCCCCCTCTACTATTGTGACATGCCCCGGCCACATTCCGGCCGCAAGTGCCGGCAATGTAACTTGAAACTTTGGAATTTCTTTAAAAATAAAAAATTGCACTGGGCCACATTACGAGCTGACCTGGGCCGCATGCGGCCCTTGGGCCGCAGGTTGGACAAGCCTGCTTTAGAAGAACGAATGCTTATGTCATATACTGTTACAGTACATCTGTTTCAGTACATATGTAGGCACAACAGAGAAGGCCAGGTGTCATGAGGACACAGGGTGGACAAGGTGACGCGTTGGTAAAGTCCTCCTACTCTGTATTCTCGAAGGCTTTCACGGCCAGGATCTGGTGGTTGTTGTGGGTTTTTCGGGCTCCTTGGTCGCGTTCTGAAGGTTGTTCTTCCTAACGTTTTGCCAGTCTCTGTGGCTNTCAGAACTCTTTGTCTGTCCTCTGAAGATGCCGGCCACAGAGACTGGCAAAACGTTAGGAAGAACAACCTTCAGAACGCGACCAAGAAGCCCGAAAAACCCACAACAACCATCCTCCTACTCTCTTTATCAACAGAGCTGCTGCCAGTAGGGAGAATGACAACCAAAATATAAATGATAGCCCAGAATTACATCTGAAATCATATCACAGCTCTAAAGAGGCTAGTATGCAGGCTTTTAAGTCTGAGATATCAGACTTAAGGTGTGATTGCACAGGGAAATAAATCACAATTTGGACCACTTACAGTACAATCTATTTCTTAGCAATCACATGACACACAGAGAAATATGCTCCAGCCCAACACCTGTCCATGCCCAAGTTGGACAGTTTTGGTCCAACTGTAGGGATTCTGCTTTTGGGGGTCAGGTTAGAGCAGTCCCCCAGCTGCTGGAAGAGTCAATTTAAAAGAGATTGCTCCGGTTAAAGAGACCCTTTAAAGATGAGGCGCTT